CCCCAAAACCCCAAAACCCCACCTCAATAGTAAAATTACAATTTTTCTAGAGTAATAAATAGAATTAAATTTAAGGTTCATATCTTAATTAAGATGTAGAAATACGTTGCTCTATCAGTACAGCCACTGTGGGACAAGTACCAATTTGAAAAAAATATTGATTCAGGTGCCTTTGGTTCTGTAAAAAAAGTTAAAAACACTCAAGACGGCAAATTCTATGCAATGAAAACTTAAAATATCAAAACGCTAATGACAAGAGTGCCAAACAATTACAGCAATGAGATGGTCCGTATAATTAGAGAGATCAACACATTCAGACTAAGCCATCCGAACATAACAGAATTCAAAGAATCTTACTTCACCTATGATGATGAGTTTGTCATTATTACAGAGTTGGCAGAATCAAATCTCTAAGTATTCAGAGAAAACACGGAGCTGACCAATGATCAGATTGCTGGCATAATGATGCAGATAATAAAAGGAACCATACATCTCCACAACCAAAATGTCATGCACAGAGATTTGAGTCCAGATAACATTTTAGTCTTTGAAAATGGCCAGAAATTCAAAATTTGCGATTTTGGAATGGCACAGCTATTATCCAATTCAAATTCTTATGTTGGAAAACTATTTTTCAAAGCACCAGAAATAGACCAAAACGAAGAATTCAGCTATAGCACTTAAGTCGACATTTGGTCTTTAGGAGTGATACTATACTACCTTTGTACTAAGAAATACCAATACTAAGGTGAAGCAATAGCCAAAATTAAGAAGAAAGATTAATCAAAGTTTATTCAACTTGAAGGTAAATAAAAGAAATTCGAGCCACTTCTTAATAAAATGCTACAGTTCAACCCTGCTTTAAGAATAGATGCGGTCTAGGTGCTTTTAGAACTTTGCAAACTTAACAACGAACCATTTAGCAAGCATTTAGAAACAGAAGAAGTAAAACAAAACCATCTTATTCCTAGTAATAATGCTGCCAAAAATGCTTTTGCTTTAACGATAAGTGGTACCAATGATCTTGTGAATGAAATTATTTCTAAACTAGGAGAATTTAACTATGGAGTATTTGATAAGATTCATCGTAATCCGGACAGAATCTTCATGCCTCTTATAAAATATGATTTTGTTATGTATCAAGGTGAGTATGATTAATTCACTAATTAAAAAGATGGAAGAGGAAGAGCTATCCACAGGGATGGTACAGTTTATGATGGATTATGGAAGAATGATTTGAGAAATGGATATGGAAGAGTAATAAAATCTAATGGAGATTATTACATTGGTGAGTGGAAGGATGGTAAAAAAAATGGAATTGGAAAATATTATTTTAATGATGGAATGATTTATTAAGGGAAATGGACATAAGGTAATATTTAAGGATTAGTATTGCTTAATAACAGTAATGGTAATTATCTTGGTGGATAATGGTTGAATGGAAACAAATATGGTGCATAAGTATTCTCTAACCTTGCTTTAGATATTGAAGTTGATTAAAGGATGAATGATTAATAACTTGGAGAATCAATGTAAATTTCAAAGGATAAGGGGTAGATACGCATAAGGAAACTAAGAATGGGAAGTTAATAAAGACATAAATCCAAGAAGTTAATGTTTAAAAATGAATTAAGTTGATTATTTAAAATTTAATATGCTCAGCTGAGAATGAGCTTGGGGTTTTGGGGTTTTGGGGTTTTGGGG